TCAAGACAGGTATGTCCACTGTCACCACTATATTCAACATAATCCTGAAGTTCTAGCTGAACCAAATAAGCAAGAAAAAAGACATAAAAGGAGGACCTCCCTGGTGGTGCAAGGGGTTAAGACGCAACCTATGAAGCTGTCCACAAGTACTGTACGACTAGTTGAACCCCGGCTGGGGAGCTACCGCCATGGCTGAGCAGAATGAAACAGGCTCTCCTGGCTCGCCCACTGCTCCCCCTCAGCAGTGTATTTTGTCAGTCTGCCTGTTCTGTTCCCCACTCTGTCTCTGGTGAATCCTCTCTCTCCCCACACCTCTGGCCTGTACCTCAGTTCTTGTATGTATAAATAAATCTTTTAAAAAAAAAGGAAATGACATAAAAGGAATCCAAATTGGAAAAGTAAAACTGTCACTCTTTGCAGATGGTTTGTTAATATACTTAGAAAACCCAAGAGAGTCTCAAAAAAAAAAAAAAAAACCTTATCAAAATAATAAAACAGTAAGATGGCAAGATACAAAATTAATACACAAAATTTGATGGCATTTGTACATATGAACAATGCTTTAGAAGGAGGAGAATTAAGGACTATAGTTCCATTTATAATAATGCCCACAACAATGAAATAACTGGGAATAAAACTAATCAAGGTGTTGAAGGACTTATATGGAGGCTTCATACTTCCTGAACTCAAACAACATTACACAGCAACATGAATCAAAACAGTGTGGTATTGTAACAAAAATAGAAATTCAGACCAATGGAACAGAACTGAAAGTCCAGAGATAAACCCACATAAATACAGACAGTTATTTTCAACAAAGGAAATAAGACCCCACAGTGGAGAAAAAACTGCTTTTAAATAAATAGTGCTAGGAACATGAATAGCCATATGCAAAAAAAATTAAGACCCTAATTTAACACCATACATGAAAATTCACTCAAAATGGATTTAAGATTTGGACATAAGAACTGAAACCATAAAGTACTGAAAGAAAATATAAGGGACACTACAGGACATCTATTATAAAGAAGTATTAAGGAATACAACCCCAGTAGCAAGGGAAACAAAGGTAAAAATAAACAAGTGGGACTCTCAAACTCATAAGCTTTTGCAATTCAAAAGAAACAATCACAATAAGGCAACCTACAGAATGTAAAACAATATTTACACACCATACATCTAATAAGGGGTTAATCTCCAAAATTTACAAAGTACTCCACAATCCAACAACAAAGAAATTACCCAATTAAAAAAAATACAAGGATCTCAACAGATACCTCTCTAAAGACATTTAGATGACATATGGACATATGAAAAAATATTCAGCAGCACTTATTTTAAGAGAAAGGCACATAAAAACCACACTGAGATACCACTTCAACCCTGTGAGAATCACCCATCTAAATAAGAATGGAATTAACAAATGTTGGCTAGGTTGCATTGAAAAGGGAACTCTTGTCCACTGTCAGTGGAAATACAACCCATGAAAAACAGTATAGAGATATCTCAAGAAAATAAAAAATGGAAATTTCATTTAACCCAGCAATATCACAATTAGGTGTCTATCCAGAGAACATTAAAAGATCTCTCTACACCTATGTGCATAGAAGCACTGTTCACAATGGCCAAATCATGAAACTAAACCAAGTGCCCTTCAACAGATGAATGGATACAGAAACCATGGAGCATATATTCAATGGAATATTACACAGCTATGAAGAAAGATAAAGTGGTGTCATTGACACAAAATGGGTGAACCTTGTGAAAGATAGATATTGGATGGTTTCACTCACCTTTGGAATATAAATGCCAAAAAATAATTATACACAAATAATAGAAGAAATAAAAATTTGAACTCAGCAAAAAGGAAAATAATGGTTACCAGAGGGAATTAGGGAAAGTGTGGAGGAGATGGAACTTGGAAGAAGATGGAGTAGGCTCATGGAGTAGTTTAGAAGCAATAAAATAGAATAGAAGCAATAAGGTAGAAGCAATAAAATAATTAAAAAAAATATTTCACTATACAAATGAAAAAAAATAGATGTCTTGCTCTAAATATATTTTGAGAATTTTGTGTGTATGTGTATATAGATATACTTATGTTGTAAATATGTATATTATAATGCATTGTATATTATATATAATATATAATAGTATATAGTATCATAATACATACACATAGCATAGATTTTTACCATATAGTAGGAACTTAATTGGTTGCCATGTTTTTAACAATAAGAATAATGATGATGATCCTCCCCGGTGACACAGCAGGTTGAGCTAAGCACTGTGAAACTGTCTGCAGCCTTGATAGCACCGGTTCGATTCCCGGCCAGCCAGGGAGAAACCCACATGGCGAGCAGACCTCTCCTGTCTCGCCCGCTGCTCCCCTCAGCAGTGCTTTTGGTCCATCTGCCTGTTCTGCTCCCCGCTCTGTCTCTGGTGAATCCTCTCCCCTCTTGCGACTCTGGCCTGTACCCCAGCTCTTGTATAAATAAAAATAAATCTTTAAAAAAAAAAAGAATGATGATGATGATGATAATGAGACTGGAAGATCTGGCCATAGGAAATGTGTCTCTTAATGTTCTCTGGGACCTATACTGTTGAATCAGACAAAATCACATTGAATATTATGACTATGACTCATAAGTTACTGTAAACTCATTATCTAAGAATTTCTCCTATCCAGATTTTTTTGTTATAATTTATAAAGCATCTAAATCATCATATTCTACACCTTTTCAAAACTAGTATTGTTCTAAGACAATTCCCTTCTGAGTCTACTAATTTTACCAAGACATAATATTTATACTAAGAAATATCCCTACATTTCTTAGTGTTTGATAATGACACACACTATGTATTCAATCCTACATTTTCTTCTTCAAGATAAAGGGCATTCTTTAATGCTAAGAGAGCAAACTATTGCAGGAATTCTATTATAGTACCTCCTAGACAAGTGTTAGCCCCTGCTCCAGGGGTCATGGATATTTTGTATGTGGAGAGTATACTGCTTCTCAATGAAAGCCCTCCCTTTGACTTGGAACAGTGTGATTGACATTCAGCCTATAAAGTTGTGGATTTCACATGAGTTTTAAAATAGAATGCATAGATCATTATTTAACAGCTTGGTAGGGCTCAAAAAATGATTACCAGATAGGAATTTAGCATTTCACAATGATTATATCAACATTGTTCACTAATGTTTACACATATGGATCCTTTTGAACTTGGTTTGTCATGTTCCTACCACTTTGGTTTGAAATAAAAATTGCTTCTCTCAAATATTCAAGACATTCATTTTTAATTCATTCTGCCCATTTATTCACATGAAGTAGCTCTAATTGCAATTTATGTGAGATGAATTGAATCATATATGCATCATTACTAGCAGTTTTATTCATAATCAATCTTCATTGCCCAGAAATGACCACCATTCTCTGTCACATAATACAGCTACATCACTAGCTTGACAGATAGAGATAAGTTTAGCCAAAGGAAAATAACAGACCTAATTCAAATGAGTAATTAACCTTTTAGTTGTGGGTTTGAGATCAGAATTGAATCAGAAGTGAGCAGGCAAGAAAGGAAGATTGAGATATAAAGGAATAACCAAATCTTATCATGTGACTAGTTTCCTATCCATGCAGGTGGCTTTAAGAGTGGCTCTTCTGCTTGCTAGCTGTATCTTCTGTACCATCTCACTCCTTTTTATGTATCCAGATTCATGTTCTTAGAACTATTTAAACTTTATAAACTTTATTTTCATTCTAATATGTGTGTTAAATTTAATAACTTTATAAAATCCAATTAAATGTCCATGTGTCTAATTTTTAAGTTTATTGAATTAGCTTTTTTTTTTCCTTCAGTGTCTCAGTAGCTTAGAACTAACATTAATTTTTTGTTTTATATGTGTGGATTGTACATTAGCTTGGGGTCGACTGCAGGTTAGTTTGGGCTCTGCCACACTGTGGGGTTGGTCCCATGGCAACCTGTCAGAACAGCATGTATATTCAATCCCATACCAGGGAGGAATGGATAGCTGGGAAGAACAAGATGTCTCCTCATTTCAACTTCTCCTTCATTACACTTCTCTCATATTGAGTATGGAGTGGCGATAAGCAGTTTTTGGATCTAACTATAAGGAAGGAAATTTGGAGAATACATAAGTGTCAGTTGATATGATTATAGAATATATGATTTACATTAATTTCTATGACTAGTTATTTTTCAGGTGTAGAAGAGGCTTCTGGGAATATTATTGTTGTCCACAGGTATTGCCTGACATTATGATATGAAAGTGTGAGGCCAATGATATATCAAGTTAAATATATATAAAAAAGTGATATCATGTGTCAGACAAACCTGTATTTTTATCATGTTTGTGATATTTGTCAGCTTTTAAAAATTCAGGATTTATAGATATGCACTGCCTCAAATTCCATACCTAATTTTATATTATCATTTTCATTTTTTAACTTAATGAGCACCCACAAAATAATCTTCAACCCATAAAAATCGAATCCACTCCTAATAGAGAAAGATAACAGCCCATAAGAACATAAGCTCTTTGTTTTTTCTAAAAATGCAATTATGAAAATACTTTTTATTTACCTCATGATTAAAAACATATATTCCATTGACAGTTAGCTTTATACAAAATATTAGTTTTCTGATAGTTGGCATTTATCCAAAGGTTTAGTTTTCTGGTATTATTAAATTATTAAAATAACTCTAAATATTAATGTGGTGATTAAGGGAAGCTGGCAGACCTGCAATTAAATCTTGATTTCAGTTATAAAATATTGACCCTGTGAAAACTACTTAACCTTTCAAAGCTTCAGTTGCTTCATTTGTAAAATTTAGATAATGGTACTCCAAAGCAAGATTGAAAAGTTTTAAAGAGGCTATTTAAAACACACAGACCTGAGGATGATGTCACCAAGGCATGGAGGACATTGCTTGTTTGTTTCCAAGATCAACAACTATTTATCTTCCAGGAAGGTGATACCACTGAGATTTTCCACAGCATGTTGGTGAGGCTGAACCCCCCCTTGAATGCCAGAGACCAACACAAAGTGCATTAGAAGGGACACGGAGATATCTACATTTTGGTGGCTCGAAGGTGAGTGGCAAGAGACACAAAGAGGTAGTAACTAAGGAGGGCAGACATGCAGTAATGTCTGCCTGCCAGGGGCTCTGTGGAGGGCAGAGAAGAAATGATGCGGAGGTAAACCCCTGGGCTCAGGTGAAATCCAAAGTTAAGTACTAGGGTCTCTACAGAGGTCGGTATCCCAGCAAGGAGGAAAACAGAAATTCTCTAGGCTTTTTTCTCCCTCCTCTACACCTCAGGTAAGTGAAATCGTCCAATAAGAAGGGTTACTTCATTTAGCATTATCACCTAAAGTCCATCCATTTTGGCCCAAAAGGTGCAATCTCATCTTTTTAATAACTGTGTAGATTTCCATTAAATATATGTTCTATAATTCCTTTATCCATTTGTCTGCCAATGGGCACTTAAGTTGGTTCCATGGCTTGGCAGTTGCTGCTATGAACATAGGTGTAGAAAAGTCTTAAGGGCTACACTACAGGGCATCTATCACAAAAGTATATTTTGGGGATGCAACTTTAATGGCAAATGAAATAAAAGCAACAATAAACAGGTGAAACTACATCAAACTAAAAAGTTTTGGGCCTCCCCTGGTGGCGGAGCAGTTGAGGGCTGGGCTGCAAAGCTGCCCGCAGCCTCTGCAGCGCCGGTTCAATCCCAGGCCTCTGGCGAGGGTCCCACATGGCGTGCAGACCTCTCCTGCTGCCCTCTGCTCCCCTCAGCAGTGTACTTCGTCCGTCTGCCTGTTCTGTTCCCCGCTATGGATTTGGTGAATTCTCTCACCCTCCCGTGCTTCTGACTGTATCGAGTACTTGTATAAATAAATAAATAAATCTTTAAAAAAAAATAAATAAAAAGCTTTGTACCTCAAAAGAAATAATCACAAAAACAAAAAGGCAACCTATAGGAATTTGTGCATCAAGCATCTGACAATGGATTAATTTTCAAAATACACAATATGCTTACAAAATCAACAACAAAACTCAGACAACCTCATCAAAAAATGGGGCAAAAGACCTAAATAGATATTTTTCTGAAGAAGATATTCAGATGGCCTACAGACACATAAAAATTTAATATTACTTACGATAAGGGAAATGCAAATCAAAATCACAATGAAGTATCACCTCATACCTGTGAGTATGGCCCACATCAAAAAGAATGGAAGCAAATGTTGGCACAAATGTGAAGAAGGAATACTCATTCACTGTTGGTGGGAATGCAAGTTGGTGCCCACACTGGCTTTCATGCTGTCTGCTCTCTATTTCTCTGCAGCTTTTACCTTATTAAGATAGAAAGGTTCTTTTGGCTGCAGTTACCATACATGCTTCAGAAGGATACGTGGGGAATGAGTAGCAAAACAAGCATTTTGCACTAGCAGAAACCAACAATTAGAGAGTGCAGCAAGAAAATTGGCACCAGCTCTAAGAGTGCTCCTTTTGTCCTACCTCATTTGCTGCTTCTACTCTCATGAAGTCATCAGTAGGGAGCAAACACTGGCAACAGGAAAGGATACCCTAAGATCTGGCCCGAAGACTGACAATATCTTTTTGGCACAGTCTAGTGTAAAATATTCCTATTAGTACTCCATATTCATTCTGGACACAGCCCAGCGCAGAGGCCAAGAGGAAATTCCCCGTTGAGAAAACACTGTGGGATATGGACGAACAGGTGAGCACAGTGAGAAATAGAGCCATTTGTTGACCCCCTCAAAGAAAGATAATTCACAAAAAATTCTTTATTAAATTTGGCCTCTCCTCAGGAGAAGTAAAATTAAAAAAAATGAGAATTTCCATAAGAGGAGGAAAACAGAGAAGCACCAAATGGGGAGAATTACAGTTATATATGTCACAAAAAATTAGCTAGTAACAAGGAAAAACATAATTCCCAGAATTTTTAAGTTTACGTGAACCCTAGAACACTGGGTGAAAATTGACTCCCTAAGTTGATTTTAGTATAGAAATTATTTTAGCATTTTCCAACATATTCTCTGTAGGGTGCTATTTTGTTTTATGGGGAAAATAAATGCTTGGGAATGCCAGGTTAAACCAAGGTTAATAGCTCTCCTTTATCAATGAAATTGCCTTTTTAAATTGGTAATATGGAATAAATACAGTGAGTAATATTTCCACTCTGAACCACTAATTTCCTCCAACACACTTTGTTTTTTAAAGATAATTTTACAGGACCATAGTAATTCAGATTCAATTTAGGATAAACATGATTTATTCAATAATAGGTTCCAACTAATTTTAGTTAAAAAAATGAGTTTCATGTTTCTGTAAATTATAGTATTTACTGCCTAATAGTGTAAAAATTCAGTGGGAATATTCTAATGGGAATAACTTCGACTAAATGATCCAGGTTTCTTGCTATTTCCTTATATAGATGTTCTTTATATTTAAAGACAATATTTAGATATTTATAACTGTGTCATATATATTTAGATATTTATTATTTAGGTATTTATTTAGGTATTTATTAGATTATTTAGATATTTAGTGAGAGAAAAGATGCCAGTCAATTCCAATCCTAGATATAAAGAAAGCCCAAAAGTTTCTTCTTTTTTGTTAGAAAAACCTATTTTTAGAACTAGGTATTATGCTATCTATAAAAATAACTATAAAATCTATCCTGATGGAGAGGATATGTTGACAGTTCCTGCTTGCTGTGCAAACAGTTGGAAAGAGATCTTGAAAAAGATAAAGGATGTGCCCCAAAAATGAGAAAGGCCTTCTTGGACCCTTAGTTTAGGCCATACACGAACTGAATCAGTCAATCAAAACCATCAAAGTAAAATGAAAAAACTCAAGGGGCTCCATGCCTAAATTCCTGACCCAAAGAAATAGAGACAATTCAAAGAAGTCTTGTTAGATAACACTAAGTTTTAAAATTGTTTATCATACAGAAATAGATAACTGAAACAATCTGTTCCTGTTTCTAGCCTATAGTATTTGGGGAAGTGACATAATATCACCATAAAAATCAATACAAATCAGTATCATTAAGTGACAGTATGAGGCAGAGAGGTAAAATACTAGAAGGTCCACGTGTGATACTACCATGGAATTAAAAGAGGACTTAAAAGAATTTGTCATTTTTGTTGGAGCACAAGGTTTGGTAGGATTAGTATGAAATGAAATTCTACAGAGTGGAGGGGATGGTCTATCTAGAAATTAAATCTCCACGGCTTATGCCTTTTGAACTATTTATGTTTGTACATACATACATGTAACACATTTACATATAATTCTGGATACAGATGATATATATATATGTAAATATAGGACATGTACATAGGATAGGCCTATAAAGCCAACTATATAGAATATAGAAATATATGCATATATTAATATATAAATATATATACCCCAATTACAGAGGGTATGTATATTTATTTAAATACCTTTTATTTACATCTAAAATATAACTGCATGTATTTGCATTGCATGTGTATATATATAGAGACATGGATATATACACACATACACACAATACTATAGGATATACATAGAAATCCCAAATGTTTCTGAATTATAAAGAAATTTATATAATTTCTAATTTAATCCTCATACAGTTCTACAAAATAGGCATTATAGTCCCCAACATACAGGAAAGGAAATTGAAACTCAAAATGTTTATACACCTTCCTCAAGCCATAAAGGATTTGACTGAGAACTATGTAATTTAAATGCCCATGTTGTCATTATTTCAATCTGCCTCTTTTTCAGTCAGAATGTCTGGAAAAATTCTCTAATTAATGTTATTCACACAGATTGCAAGTGGCAGCAAATCAGTAAATTCCTGTGTGAGTTGCTTGTGGAACTGTGCACAGTAGCCAATCAACCCATTAAAATTATCCCAGAGACTGGACCTTTGCACACCACAAAAAGCCAAACTCATTACTCAGATCCTACAGTGCAAGACTAGTTGTAGACCAAACTAGTTGTTGTGTAGATGAACACTTCTCAGATGTTAATGCTTCTTTGCATTTGGGATCTAGTTAAAACACAGATTAGAAATCAGTTCCTCTCAGATGAAACCTGTGATTCTGCATTTCTAATAAATCCCTAGATGAGACTCCCCATGGGCCACACTCTAGGTATTAAGGATTTGGATAGTGGTTTGCATTTCTATCTCTACATCTCCTTCCCCACCACTGCCTGACAAATTACTACCCTGAGTCAAATAGCCTTGGCTCAATTTGAGCTCAGATAAATTTCCCTATTCTCTAATTTTAATTAAAATGTACTAGTCCTATGCTCCAGGCTCAAACTTTTCTAAGTGAAAAATTACCCAGAAAGTAATTCCAATCAATGATGGGGGCTGGTAAACAGAAAGATTAAGCCATGATTAGAAGCTTGAAATTTTCATCCCAACACAGGGGGGTAGGGGGATAGCCTTCATGAAATTTCAGTAGTACAGAGTTCTGAGAATTTTTCCTGTGGGTGAACACACCCACATACTGGAAGGGTGACACACGGCAACTCCACTGGGACTCATGTACCCAGGGTCACCCCAGATATCTCTTCATCTGTATTCTTCATTATATCCTTTAATAAACTAGTAAAAGTGTTTCCCTGAGTTCTATAAACAACATTAGCAAATGATAGAACCTGATGAGGATATCATGGGAACCCTCCATGTGTAGCCAAGGTGGACAGAAGTTGTGGGTAAGCTGGGGTCCTAGAGCTTGTGACTGGGACAAATGAAATGGGACAAATGGGACAAATGCAGTCTTGTGGGACTAACCCATAACACCTGGAGTCTGACACTATCCAGATAGTGTTACAATTTAGTTAAATTGTAGGACATACGGCTTCCCTAGTGGCACAGGGGTTAAAGACAGTGCTATCAAGCTATCACCAGCCACTACAGCACCAGTTCAATTCCCAGCAGGCCAGGGAGCAACCCACATGGCGCAGCAGACCTCTCCTGCTCACCTGCTGCTCCCCTCAGCAGTATATTTCAGTAGATCCGCATTTTCTGCTCCCCACACTCTCTGGTGAGTCCTC